GCTGTATTACTTCATGTATAGAGAGCTTGGAATATTTAAATAGGGCTCATGAACACAGGATATTTTTCTCAAAATCCCTCATTTTCCAAATACTATTTCACACTATTAGTACTTCTTTGAAAAAAAAAACAAACGGGCTTTTCCCCAAGGCTGTATTATAATGCTTTCCAGAGCTGGCTTTACACTATGGCGGAGTGGGCATTGGCTTGGGGTGCCAAAGTTAGTGGGCACTAATGTTGCCCCTCCTTCTGAATCATTCTAAAAATGAAGATGTTCACATTTGTGGGAGGTGGCACCATCCAATGTGGCCTAGGGGTGCCAAATATTTTGAGCTGGCACTGGTGCTACGCACCATTTAGAGTCAGCATAAAACTTTATCACACAAAATTTGTTGCCCCGGGCCAATCCTTATTCCCTTTTTGTTGACACTGATCCCAATCATAGCAGTTATCTACTTCATTTTAAGGCAACAGTGGCAAAGGCAAAAAAATGTTATATATCTGATTTCCCTTGCATGCTTTCAGAGAAAGGGAAAAAAACTGCTGGAAATAAGGGTGGTCCAATGAAGGATAATTAAGCCCCTTTCACTCATGAGCTCGGGATAAGATTATGGGAACATAGAAAAAAAAAGGTGCTCTCAAGTCCATGGTCATGGTTAAGATAAATGTGGGGATCCATTATTCCCCTTGCATGACTCTAATCAATCTGTATTTTAATATTTTCAATGATTTGCTTCTGTATGTTCTGCTGCGTTTACAGATTTACAGGAAATGATTGAAGAACCTTGGAAGAAAATGAGTCTGAAGTAGGATGAAGTTGCTCATCAAGATCTCTCAACATACCCTCCAAATTCCTGCCCTAATTTTATTGCTTAAAAAGCAAATTTAGGAGAGACTGCATGTTACAAAGTCACATGCACAAAACCATTGTTTTAAGATAAAAAGTTGAATCTTTGTAATATATCATCTTCCCTAGGGGAAAAAAATAAATATAAATCGAGGTCACTGAGTTAATTGGAGGGGATGCTGGAGAGTAGTCTTACTATTTTATCCTTTGAAAATGCATTTGTGACTGATGGCTACACAATGGCAATTATTAGTAAATCAGGAAAAGATCACCCAATGTCTGCCAGCTGTCTAGGAAGTATTTTTAAACATAGTTTAATACTCTTTCAAAAAACCACTAGACTGATAAAAGCAACTGATAGGGTGGCAGTTGCAAGATAATGGTGAGAAGGAGCTCTGAGTCCATGGGTCTACCCTTCAACCAAAACCCAGCCCACATTAAGGAGAACGATTGGAGGGTTTTTTTCTGTTAGCAGGAAAAATCACATTCCTTAACTTATTCTACATTAACCAGTCACCAGCCTCTTCACTCAAGTTGAATAGAGCTTGGAAGTCAGTGCAGAGCTGGCAAACCTTTCTACCAGCTCAAAATCTGAAGGAATGCATCTTATCCAAAGCATGAATCAGTTGGGAGTGTTGCTATTGTATCAGCCTCTGTGTAGCAACCTCCCTGCCTGAGTTGTTCTCCATCTCAGGGTTGGCAATGGAAACGCCTAGGTTTATGGTCCTGGAGGATTTCAATCTGCCTTCCTTGGGAGCAGGGTCTGATGTGGCTCTTCATGTCTTCCAGGAAAACCATAGATTTATTTCAGGTCACCTATAGCCAAAACCAGGAATGTGGTTATATACCTGATCTAATTTTGTGTTGGAGTAGAAGCAGAGTGGCTGGAATTGGAGGAGCTTTCTGTAACCCCCGTCATAGTCAGATCATGACCTGGTAACCATGAGATTCTCTGGCATTGACCTCCCCCCTGCTACAGGGAGATAGGACCTCTTGGATTGGTACACTGCCAGTGACTAATGAGAGCTGGAAGATTTCCAGAGGGAGTTATGGGTTTTTCTTGATGGTCTGATGCATGGTCCAATTGAGTCTTTAGTCGCCACTTGTTGTTCTGTGCAGTTTATGGAAGAGCTGAGGAAGATGGGAGATGTCTAGAGCATTGATGAAAGTTAATGAAGCATGAACTTGACTGAACATGGGTAAGAGTCACTATTAAAGCCTTTGTGGAGTAAGGACAGTGAAATTAAATTATTTATCCTTATTGTGTACACAGATTGCTGTTTGGCGGCTTTGTTTTGGGTGGCCCAACCCAAGCCATTGTGGGTAAGGAGAAACTTGCAATTCACCTGTAAGACTGGATGGGGTAATTTTCTTAGTGTCTATTGAACAAAATCACTCAAAATTTGTTCCATTAGATGCCAGTTACAGTGCGGGTCCAGTGGAAACGCCTGAGGTTCAGTCTTGCATGTTACAAGAATGGTTTGAATTGAATTTGTTGGGCCAGCATCCTTATGACTGCGAGCTCGTTCACCTCCTCCTTAGACTAGGCCCTTTCTGGTTAGCTAAGACTTCCCTGGATGGACATGTTGGTTGGTTCTGATAGTAGTTAATTCATCTTTGAAAGGGGGGATTATTCCTTTGCTTCTCAAAGAGGCATTGGTTCACTCCCTCCTCAGAAAACCATTACTGGATCCCACCATACTAGACAATCTTTGTCCAATGTCCAACTTGCTTTTTGGGGGAAAGATTGTAGAGAAGATTATTGTACAATAACTTCACCAGATCCTTAATTAAACGAATTATAAGGATCCTTTTCAGAGTTCAGGCCTGGACATGGGATAAGAATGCCATTGGTCATGCTTTTGGAAGATCTATGGCATCAGCTGGATGGGGGTAGTGCATCTATCCTGGTTCTACATGGTCTCTCAGTGACTTTCAATACCATCAACCCAGTGGTGGGATTCAGCCAGTTCGCATCACTTCGGGAAAACCGGTTGTTAACTTTCTGAGCAGTTTGGCAAACTGGTTGTTGGAAGAAATCATTAGGACAGAGAACCGGTTGTTAAATTACTTGAATCCCACCACTACATCAACCATTTCATTTTGGATCAACTCCAAGGATTGGAATTGAGTGGCACAATAGTGGAAGATTTTCTTCTTTCCTTAGGGGCAGTGTTCAGTGCAGTCAGTGTTCATTGTACTTGTTTGATTAGGGTTTTTTTTGTTTTTTGTTTTAGTTTTTATTATATTTGTATACCGCCCTTCTCCCGAAGAACTCAGGGTAGTGAACAGCCATGATAAAACAACATACAAGACAAAATTTAAAAAACATTAAAAAATTCAATCTTTGGCCAAAATTAAAACTTCCAATTAAAACCATTTTAAACCACTTTTAAAACCCAATTTAAAATCATTTATCCCGTCAGACCGGCTTGCTGAAATAATAGGGTCTTTAGAGCATGACGGAAGGCGCGGAGATCGGGGATCCTTCGTATGTCCGGGGGCAATTCATTCCATAGGTCAGGAGCCCCCACAGAGAAGGCTCTCCCCCTGGGGGTCGCCAGTCGACATTGTTTGGCCAACGGCACACTGAGGAGGCCCTCTCTGTGGAACTGTGTCGGTCGGTGGGAGGAAAACGGTGGCAGAATGCGGTCCTGTAAGTAACCAGGTCCTAAGCCATGGAGCGCTTTAAAGGTGGTAACCAACACCTTGAAGCACACCTGGAAGACCACCGGGAGCCAGTGCAGCTCGCACAAGAGGGGTATTACATGGGAGCGATGAGTCACCCCCATTATCACTTGCGCGACCGCATACTAGACAAGTTGGAGCCTCCGGGTACTCCTCAAGGGGAGCCCCATGTAGAGAGCATTACAATAGTCCAGATGGGTGTGACCTGCGTGAGTGACTGTGCGCAAGGCGTCCCGATCCAGAAAGGGATCTGGTAAATCAGGCGAACCTGATAAAAAGCCCCCCTGGCCACGGCCTTCATATGATCGTCTAAAGACAGCCATGAGTCCAGGAGGATGCCCAAGTTACGAGCCCTCTCTGAGGGGGGTAAGATCTCATCCCCAATAGCCAAGGATGGTGTTAGCTGGCTATATTAGACAAAACAGCTGTTCTGTGGGTATGTGTGTTGTACATAAAATCAATGCACCTTTATCAGATGAAAAATAGACTTCTATTAGTTCTAAGATCTTTTTCCCTTTTACTTTTCCATCAATATTTGTTCATTTCTGGGGACTTTTTAACTATTAAAGTGGGCTCTTCAGTAAGAAAGGACACTTGGATGTTATGATAGCTACTGTGTTATTTTAAAAATCTCATGTTTTCGTTTTTGATCTTGCTTCAAAAGGAGCAACTTAGTATAAATATTTTATCTCATATTATAAGCAATCATACTGCCAACATTTCTTCATCTTAAATTCTGGTTAGCTGCAAGAAAGTAGGAGGTAATCATAGATTTCCATTACATTTAATGCTTGCAGTATCTTTTAGTTTTACCACAGATGTAAGCAGCATACCACTCATAAAATGCAGCCATCTAAATTAGCTAGCAGAACGTTGCTGCAATGATATATCTTTCCCGTCTGTGACTGCTTAAATGAGCACGCTTAATTGTCTTCGGGGTAATTTTAATTTACGACAGGCAGTTTCGTTTACTTTTATTTCGCAACTCAAGTTTACAGTTCCGTATGGCTTTCATGAAGGCGATGCGACTTCTAAGAAGAAGACGGAGAACATAGAAGAAACGTGCATCATTTCGGCATATCGTCTCGACCTGCCATTGACACGCACCGTGAACCCTTCAGGCCGGTTAAGACGCGTGTTCAAAGAGAGTCGCGTGCAGACGTTTCACGCTTTCATAAACTCTCCATAAGCGGTGGAGAAGACCCGCCAGATCTATCGAAGGGTGGAATCAAAGAGGCGCCTCTAAAAGTTCAACGCGGGCCGGAACGCTACCGAACCGAGCCCGAAGAGCGCCCTTTCCCGCCAAATATAAGGCGGGCTGAGGTTTCCACTCCGCCGCGACTCCCTCCGAGCCCGTCTTCTTCAACCCGCGGAGATGAGAGCGGGCGTGACGCGCGCCGGAGACGATTGCGCTCCAAAGACCGCGCCAGGCGCCTCCCATAAGCGGCGAGGCGGGTGGAGGGCGCCTGCCGAGAGCGCGCTTCAGCCGGGAGGGGAGACGCCTCCTTTCCCCGGACTCTCCGTCGAGGTGTTCGCCGCCGGCGATGTTCACCAGGGCGGTGAGCAGACTCAGCAGAAAGCGGCCTCCGTCAGGTATAAGGGGCCGATAGGGCGGGTGGAGAATTGCTGCTGTGCCCCGGATAGTGAGGGAGCTGTGGTAATGGATTAGAAAGAAACGCGACAGTCCCAGCCTTGCAGCGTGAACTGTTTGCTAGTTTTCTTGCAAGCGGAGAGTTCGGACCAGGGTGGCTTTGCGGTTTGCAAACTGGCTTTTTTCTGTGTCTGAAGGAGGTGGCTCTCGGGCTTGGCTCGCCGGCTGTTAAGTTTGATTTTTTGGTTCATTATTGCTATTTTTCTAGATAGATAGATATGTATGTATTCGCTTTTCAGATTTATAATTGCTGTTAGGTTTTTTTTTTTTTCATCCCGCTTTTTTTCCGCTCCCTGAAGTCAGCAAACGCAAGGGGAAGTCTTGCACCCGAAAGAGGAAGGCTGAGGAGGCTGGCTTGCCATTTGGCAGGGTGGGATTTTCAGACAGACCGGTACGAACGAGTCAGAAAAAAAGGAAGAGGGAAAGAGACAGCCACGCTCTTCGGAGCTGCTCGTCTTGCCCCTGAAATGGTTTCAGGGGCATGCAAGAAATGCAAGATAAAAATGAGACGCTATCCTTTTCTTTGTGAATCGAACAGTTGGATTGCTCCTACAGACAGGGGGAAATATCCCATTAATGTTACATGTCTCTGAATAGTCAGCACGAATCAGAAAGGCTATACAAAATAACACACAGAAAGCAGACGCTGCCTCCTGTTGAGCCAACTTCAGTTCATTTTTATTTTTGTTCAAATCCTGGAGTTCCATCTTTTTATGGAAATCAGTATGAAAATATTTAGAGATGAAGGAATTACTCCAAGAACGATGGAATAATGTTCTACATCCCGTATACAGAATAGTACTGTCCTAGATGGAAAATAATATGTTTCATATCCCAGAGTGAAAAGTCCAGCCATTCACAAGATTGGATCATAAGGATTCTATTGAACTTTGTAAAAATTGAATGCATAGTTTTGTTTTGAATAGCTTGAAACAATGAACCTTTAACAATGATATTGTATATTGGAAGTTAGATTCAGTATTTACTGAATATCTGCTCAGCCTGGTTTTCATATTTTTGTTTATAAATTATTGTATTTTTCATGCACATGGCGGAAGTGATTCATGATTTGATTTTAGCATGATGTTCTGTTCTAGGATCCCTGAATATGATCACTGTACCAAAAAAAAAAAAAAAAAGTAATCTTGGCTGGGAAGTGGTTACTTGGAAAGTATTTATATACACCATTAGCAATATAGATTTATTAATCTCACTTTTAAGCTAAAGTTTAAGCTAATCAGGTTAAACTTTGCTATGCTTTGGATGACAGCAACAGGAAATCTCCGGGTTATAGTTTGGACTGCAAATAAAAAAAAGCTTCCTAAAAGAAGACAACGTCAAACTACTTCTTTATTGCTGCAAAACATTACCTATGACCCTAAATTATCACCAGAAATCACTCAGTTTGATGGAGACTTTACCTTTTGCCTCTGAAAAGTTACTGCCGTTACTGAACTTTTTAATATGCAGGACGTTTCTTCATTTTTGTCTGTTGAGCATATATCAGTGGAAGTGACCTTAATTCCATTCTTATTTGGATTTTCAGAAAACTTTTCTGAGTTATGAAGATGGATATTACTTCTACAAATTTTTTTCCTAGTCTTGGTGAGGCACAGCCTCTCTTTATTTAAAATACTTATGATTGCGGTTCTCTGAATCTTTTTCCACTTACTAGAGTTTTTACATCCAGATTGGATTTCCTGTTCTCAAATACTAAACTTAGATACAAAACATCTTTTTTGGAAATAATTGAAATTCCATAATTTACCCATAATTCAGTGATATGACAAATTATTTAGTTTAGTTTAGTCAAGTTAAATTCTAGCAATGCAGTAGCTTATAAGTAACACTTGGGCTGCTAGAGCTGAAAAGTATTGAAGATGAATCATAATGCATCAGTATTGCTTTGTGAAAGAACCATGTAATTTTAACCTGGTTTATTTCTTGTAAAACAAAGGCTTCACGCCTGATAATGTTCCTGTCTACTGTGTACATACATAACATCTACATTTCTGTACATTTTTAGTTAAAAGTTGAAACCTATGATTCCAAAGAAAATGTTTGGATTAGTAATTTCAGCAAATCTACAGATTTAAAACACAAGTTATGGAAACATGTACTTTAGAAGAAGCTATGGGTAGACATCAACTTATCAGCAGCTGCTTAATAACCATTCAAAATTACCACAGCCTAGAAAGGGTGCTTTATGCCTCATAAAGCACTTTTGCTAAGAAATGTGCTAACCCCCTATGGTAGGATGCTGCATTTTGGGAGTTTGGCTAAAGGATCACCTTTATGAAGGTTTGTGGTATCCTGTGATCACATGACTACAATTGCAGTGTTTTTGCAGTTTCCAATATTTTTTGCCATTTGGAAGAATGTGTTTGCCCTTATGACCACCACGTTCATTCAACCACACAGGAGAATTGCTTAAAATTGTTCCCCAAAAATTATAAGATTGGGTCCATGTGGTTCAGTGGTGGGTTGCTACCAGTTCTCAATGGATCAGGCGAACCGGTAGTGGTTGCGGGAGACTCTGCACCTGCCCAGAAGCATCGCGCATGCAAGCGTGCACAAGTCCACGAGCAAACCAGTAGTAATGGGATTTGAAACCCGCTACTGATGTGGTTGCCTTTACTTAACAACCAGAATGACTTATGATTGGAAATCCATTCCAGAATGATTTATGACTGGAAATCCACAATTGGGATTAGAAATCCAATCCCAATTGTGGTCATAAATCAAGGATTGTCTGTACTACTAAAAAAATGTGTGTGAAACCTGACCATGGAAAGTAAAGTTTCTTTGTTTCTTAGCCATGGAAGTATTTTCATCTGGGATTGTTACTTTCAAGCTTCAGTTTATTTCAAGCAATAAAATGCATTTCTATGATTGTAAATTGATATTACATATAAGAAATTTGTTTTGGATAAGTATATATCATATGTTGGTACAATGTTAACACTTTTCTGCAAATTGCAGATATAGTTGTAAATAGAGAGTGAATTAATGTGCAAGTTATGTTAGCAGCGATATAATAAAGGTTGTAGCTAGTCTGTTTTATAACTTAAATAAAGTAAATGTCTTATTTAGACAGTAGAAGTAATGGGACAAAGCTGTTTGCGTTAATTGAATAGGATCTATATTTCATTTCCACTGAAAGCAGTGGGACAAATTCATCTGATTAGGGGTTTAACAAGTAGTATTTACTAATTGTCTATTTGTTTTGCTTGTTAATTGATGTTGCAGAGGAAAAAATGAGAGAAGATAGGCTAAAACTGCTTCCAGATGAGGTTTTTATTGTATAATTATCTTGTCTTAAACCTAGGATTTAATAGGACGCTCAGATGACATCTTCCATTTGGAACTCGCCCATGTTTTTGCACTGCTTCTTTTATTTCTTACCACAAAACGGGTGGGGAGGGGGAGAAAAGATAGGCAGAAAAACTGCAGAGTGCCTTTCAATTAACAGAGAAGCAACCAAAATGTACCTTAAATATTTAAATAGTTCACCAAGCTGAAAGCTCCGCGATTCTTATCCAGGGTTCTAAAAGTTTTAGATTCAGTTGTATCTAGAAATAACCATAATTCACTGAACAAAAGTACATCAGGATTTCCTTGTTATTGTATTATATTAATTCTTCGGACTTTACTCTGATTATGAGCTACTAAGAATCTGGCTTAATAAGGCAGCAGAGGAATCTAATTGATTAATTTATGATAGATTCTCTCCCTTCCCCCACCAAAATTAGATTAGCACATCCCTTTTGACCTTCTCAGAGGCCTTCAAGATCTGGTTGTCCATCTTGAATATATATCAGAAAGAGAAAGCTTGAGAGTTCACAAGGTTGATACTATATGGAACAAAACTGTGACCAAATCTGGATGTTCTGTTTTGGATACCACGAAGATTCCTCCCAGAAGATAACAAGGAAAACCAGTCGTAAAGCCCAAATACAAACCAAACATTTGTCATTTTAGTAAAAACAAGCTAATGTACATCTAGTAAAATGTTCTTTCCCATAGTTATGGCTGCAGTTTTTTCCTAAATAATTGCTAGCTTCCAAAAAAAGGATTTTTTTCTGAGATTAAACAAAAACTGGACAATTCCTCAGAAACTCGACAATGGATGTTTCCCTCAGAAAATCGAAAGCTAGATCTAGATAAAAACATGAACCATTTCATTGAATTACAGTTCTTGGCATTCAGTAACTGTTCAATAGAAAAGCAAAGGAAATAATCAGGAGGTCTTGAACAGGGTTGCCAGAAAGCTATCCAGGATGCAATAAGAATGGAAAAGCACTGATGCTTTTCGTATCTCTTTGCTGCCATTTAATGATTATCCAGATTTTTTTTCAGTTCTGTTGTGGTAGCCCAAGCCTTACAAGTGTTAGATGTGGCTAGTCATCTTTGACAAGAATATTTCAGTTCATGATTGTCTCAAAGGTGTTTTCTCAGAAGGCAACTGGAGTTTCTTGGTTGGATGAGAAGCGAAACATTTTAAGGAAAAAACCCAAGAAAATCCAGTTGCCTTTTGAAAAAGCACTTTGGGGGTTTCAGTTCTGTATTAACAGAATCACAGAATTGGGAGGAACATAGAGTTGGCTGGAGTTGGCTAGGGTCTTCTTCATAGTGACATCAAACTCTGGAATTCCCTTTTGTTGGAACTACTGTTGATTAGTTGATTGACTTTTAGCCAAAGCATGCATTCTGTATGGTCACGAAGAGTCAACACTAACTTGATCGCACATAGTATTAAAGATCTAGGGTAGTACAAAAATAGCCACAGAAATGCATTCTGAAAATGTCAGAGGTAATTCATAATAGTCAAATGAAGTCTGAGAATGAACGGTTATTTCAAAATGTTCAGGGAAAATGGGAAGGGAAAAGTCATGCTGGGAAGTTGTAATTGTAAAAATTATGATATTGTATTTTTTTGGTTTGACCCAATTTAGTAGTTATCTCTACAACATTCAAATAAAAACAAAATATAAGAATTTTTGTTTTGTTTTCAAATATTTTTAACCCAGTAAATTCTAGAATGATAACAAGAAAACAGTCTGTTTTTCCTTTGATTTGAAACTTTTTACATATTTTAGTGTGCAAATTTCTTTAAAATTCAGTATTTTAATATAAAATACGTTTTCTTCCAAATAGATAACATATTTAAAACATATGGATGTTATTTGTGTAGCTATTCTGGTATGCAATTCTCTTTTAGGAAATATTCCAACTTGTTTACAAGCAAATATTTAATATCTAACACTATTGCCTTTTTAAAGTTCCTTGAAAAAGTTCTACCTACTTTATAAACTTGGAAAAAAAATGATATCTTAGTCACATTCAATAAAGTCATGATCTTTTATATATTCCATATAAGCATGTTTACCCATTTGGATAGGATTTTAGTATATTATATAGTGTTGCTTTATAGCTTTTCTATGGGTAATATAAAACAGAGGAACATGATTAGTCACAGAAATATAAAACATTACCTTATATTAAGTAAGATTATATTCATATTATATTTCATTTTTCTACTCTTTGAATTTGAATCCCGAGATTTGTAGTTAATTGTGGATTAAATGACATTGACATCAAAATATATTTGTTTCTTGGTTCTCATCGTCTTCAAAACTTCAAATTAATTGAAAGTCTTACAGCCTTTTAACAGAGATAGAAACAGTTCTGCAGCTGTAAATTTAAATACACAAACATAATTAATTTTCTTTTTCAGAAATAACTGACAACGACAGCAAGCCATGTAGTAGCCATCAGACCCTCAGTGGAACCACAAGATGGGCTGAGTCACTAGAAAGTTTGCTGGAAGATCGAGAAGGTGTAAAGAAATTTATGGTTGGTATCTTAAGTATTATTTACCGCATAAACCTAAATACAACTCCCAACCAATTAGAGCTGTTTTGTCATCATTACATGAATCAACAATATGCAAGTTATTTATTTTGAGAGTCTTGAGTGTATTTAATGGCACTGACATCTAGGGAAAGATGTGTGAAGTTCATATTCATAATAGTTGAGGTGTTAAGTGTACAAGCTTATGTAAACAGCGTGAAGCCTTTGCCTGAAAGCCATTACTAAACCTCTACTCTAATTCTAATACTCTTCTCAAGATTGCATGAAAATGACTACAAAAAGTTGTACTGCAAAGTTATACTATAATTTATAATATAAGTTTTTAGGATCCAGGTACAGAACTCTTTGGGGCAACATCAGCACCTGACCTTTGAATAACAATGAGGGTTGCACTCCAAAGAAAAGTGGAGGAAGAAGGAGAGCATGCTGCCACTTCCTTGTTTTAAATCTTGTCCTCTTATGAGACAGAAGACATACAGGAAGTCCTCCACATACAGCCATTCATTTAGTGACTGTTCAAAGTTGCAATGTCACTGAAAAAAATTGACTGATAACCGTTTTTCACATGACCATTACAGCATCCCTGTGGTCATGTGATCTAAATTTGGATACTTGGCAACTGTTTCATATTTATTTTTTATTTTATTTTATTATTTTATTTTATTTTATTATTTTATTTTATTTTATTTTATTTTATTTTTTTTATTTTATTTTATTTTATTTTATTTTATTTTATTATTTTATTTTATTTTATTTTATTTTATTTTATTTTATTTTATTTTATTTTATTTTATTTTATTTTATTTTATTTTATTTTATTTTATTTTATTTTATTTTATTTATTTGTATACCGCCCTTCTCCAACAGGACTCAGGGCGGTCAACAGCCATGGTAAAAACACAACATATAAAGTTTAGAAACAATTTAAAAACATTAAATAATTTTGGCCATCAATTTAAAATAACCCAATTAAAACCAATTATAAATTTAAAACTGCAAAGATGGGGTCAAGCCAGCCCGGCTAGATGGAATAGATGTGTTTTCAGGGCCCGACGAAAAGTCCGGAGGTCTGGTATCGTGCGTATCTCTGGGGGTAGGTTGTTCCAGAGGGCAGGTGCTGCCACAGAGAAGTCTCTCCCCCTGGGGGTCGCCAGCCGACATTGTCTGGCCGACGGCACCCTGAGGAGGCCCTCTCTGTGTGAGCGAAGTGGCCGGTGGGAGGCTATTGGCGGCAGAAGGCAGTCTCGTATGACTGTTGCAGTGATCCGAGATCATGTGATCACCTTTTGCAACCTTCTGACAAGCAATCAATAGCGAAGCCAGTTTCAGTTAACAACTAACTTGCTAACTTGATTATGATTCACTTAACAACTCTAGCAAGAATGGTCGTAAAATGGGTCAAAATTCATTTAACAACTGTCTTGCTTAGCAGCAGAAATTTTGGATGCAGTTGTGGTTATTAGTTTAGAACTACCTATACTTTTTTTTTTTTAAATTGTCCTTGTTTTCTAGAAAGATTTATCCTCTGATATAGTATGGTCCTAACTCTGCTCACTTTTAGGAAAGCTATTAATATATGACATTTTCCTTAGGCATTAGAGGCCAAGCGAATGCTTTCCCCTTCGATTGTTTTATTAAGTGCTTGGTCACCATTTTTCTATTTTCTATTTATATATTGTATACATTTTAATGTCTTTACATTTTTGGCTCAATTGTTTTTTGTTGTTATATGCCACCTAGAGTTGGTATTGCGTAATTTTGGCAGCCTTGTAAATATGGTTATGAATAATAATAAAGTTTAAATAAAGGAAGGTGTTCCAGAACAAAATAAATTGTTAATATGAATACTCTCTCTTCATTCCATTTTCCCCAGTAATGCTATATTAACAATTGCAATTTGGTAGCAACCTTTGAAGAGGCTCTGAGAATTGTAGCCAGGTATTCAGGAAGACAGCATGTTGCTTCAAACATGCATTTTGTACACAGTTGTTTAAGAGTTTGCAATTTAATTTGCAAGGAAAATCCTTTTGTTCTTTATGTGAAGATGTTAAATGAAATTAATAAAGGTTGGCTACTAGTTTATGGTACTTTATTTTAAAAGCTTCCTTTTTCCCCCATCAGGACTTTTTAAAGAGAGAATTTAGTGAAGAAAATGTTTTATTCTGGCAAGCTTGTGAAGACTTTAAGAAGATACAAGATGAAAAACAGGTATTGACTCAAAAATCAAGCAGAACGCAGATAAGCTTCACTTGATATGAATATATGTAGAAAACAATGCAATCTACATCTATTATAGTTACAGCACACAAAATTGATTCAGGTGGGAAGTGATCAAGAAATCCCAAAAACGTATTAATGATTATTAAGATTATGGTGGTTCATTAAGGATTTTTTTCTTTGTTACTTGTTTACTGGATTACATGTTAAAATGACTTTAAAACTATGTTTTTCTAGAATTTTCTTACTATTTTTTTCCTTCTCTTTTGGCCAATGCTGTCTGATTTAAGAAGAGGATAGGTAAACTCAATTTTATCTTATATTTCCCTGAAAAATAAACTGAAATATAAAGTATTGATTTCATGTTTTTGCCAATTCAGTTTTTACTATATAACCCTATAAAAAAACAAGTGTAAGTTGTTTTTAAAATAAAATAAAAAAATCATTACTTTGGAAATGCTGCCTAAAGTAGGGTTTAAGATGTGTGGGTTTCAGTTCAGTTTCCAACATGCTGAAAGTTGAAGCGCACATATCTTAACATTGCCAAGGTTAAGAAACTTGGCCTAGATGAATGAGGTGTAAATGTCTTGGTACCAGCGAGCAGCGACATGAAATGTGTTGAAGTATACACTAGTTTTCTAGAAACTAGCATGTGATGGCTTGCATAACAAGATGGTCTCATAAAAGATGAAGATGTATGATAAGAGTAGGAAGAGTAGGAATATAAAGAACAGCAATCCGGTTCTTCAAGTTGTAGATAAAGTGCTGATTTCAGAACTGCACATATCAAGAAGCAAGATGAATGTTAATCTGATTCCATAATTACCCCATACCACTACATATTCAACTTCTGTTGCCATTGTTTTTTGTTAACTCTACAAAGGACAATTATGAGTCATGCGGATTCCAATAGGATACAAAATTTGACTTGCTACTTTAGTCCTTATGTTTTTCTTACCATGTAATAATCTTTGTTGAAACAAAAGCTATTTGATGAATCAGCTGCAATCCTTTTTAGTCAAGGAATCAGCTATACACAACAATTAAGACTGTTTCTGAATGCAAAGATAGATCATAATAAATGTGGAACTTGGCTTACAAGATTCATAAACCCCAGCCATCACAGCCTATAATTAGTGTTGTAGAATATAACAATGATTACAGTAATTTATTGATTATGTTGGCTGTTCATAGTTAGGTTTATTTCCAGAATAGTGTTCTAAACATAGAATACAGTTCTCTTTTCTACACTTTTCCTGTAGGTTCATCCTCTCTTTAATATTGGAAAGACTATCTGAAACAGAATGTGTGTGGGACAGGGAGATTTCAGGAGGAAAATTAGGATTTCTTCTCTTGCTTAAGTGCAATAATATTCAGTTAATACAAGATGTTTTTAAGATTGGCAATATTGGTAAATGACATCTGTGCTTAGTGAAGATGTCCTTCTCTTCACAGATGAAAGCAAAGGCAAATGAAATTTACAAACATTTCTTGTCAAATAAAGCTTCTTATCAAGTCAATGTAGAAGGACAATCACGTTTGGATGAATCAATACTGGAAAAACCTCACCCTCTGATGTTTCAGAAACTTCAAGATCAGGTAAACTTCTGAAACTTCCTTAATTATCTTGTGAAAGATGAACAACTAACTCCTGGTTGCAGGACAGGATTATATTACAATAGAGTTAGAAAAAGCTCCAGGATCAATGTTTTTTGCTGAACAGGTTACCTAACATTTAAGAAAACAAATTGATAAGTGAAAAATGCTTAGGAAAGAATATATTTATGATTTCAATGGAGTTAACATTTGGTCTAGTGGTTAAGGCAACAATCTAGAAAGCAAGAGACCATGAGTTGAGCTTCCTCCTTAGCCATGAAAACCAGCTGGGTGACCTTGGGCCAGTCACTCTTTCTTAGCCCAACTCACCTCATAGGTTGGTTGTTGTGTGGAAAATAGGAAGAGGAAGGTGTGTATGTTTGTCACCTTGAGTTATTTGTAATAATAATAAAGGCAGGATACAAATGGCCAAATAAATAAATAACTCAGAAATAATTTGAAATTAATTCATGCTTACTTTGTAAAGTATATTTTTCTTTTATTTCAAACTCTATATTTGATGACATAATACACTGAATAATTTGTTTGAATTTGTGTTTATTTTTTTTTAAATAATTGCTGGTTAGGCATGGCAAAAATATATTCTAGATAGATAGCTTATTAACTGATTAATCCTACAACCATATTAAAAAATACAACAAAAATCAGATATAAGATCTAATTCCAGGATAAAATAGATAAAAGAAAATACAGCAATAAAATACACATTTTGTAAATACAAAGAATCAACATTCAGATAAAGATATCACCTTTACAGAATACCCCAATCTGTTCGATATAATGGATTTTTATCTCAGCTGCCTTAACATAGCAGTTCTGCTATGATGTATACATCAGAGCTCAGAAACCAGTGGGTTGTTCTTTCAAGTAGGGATGTTAAATATTTAAATGCAAGAAGGGCATGTTCTTAACAGTCAAACAAAATATGAGCAATATTTTCAATGGCTGGGGCAGTGCATATACACAATGAATATTCAAAAGTTGCTGTCCTATCTCTTAAAACTTTGATGCTTTTCCTTTTGGAAGAATCCGGCTGACACTGCTTTCTATTTATTTGTGCATTTAATATATAAATATATATAAATTTTAACTATCTCCGGCTCCAGTCCCAAGGAGGGGAATGTCTGCCCTGCCTGCTGAGGGCTTTTTTGCCCTCCGGAATATCAGGGCAGGGCGGGACTCGCTATTTGAAGCCGCCGCGGGAGATGGGGCGACGGCCTGCTGAAACAGCTGTTTCTGGCTTGTCAGCGCTGGAAGAAGTGGAGGCCGGAGCGTTCGGCAGCGTTCGGCAGCGGTCGGCGTTTCTGTGCGGCGGCGGCGGCTTGGAGGTGCCCTTCATCCCTCTCGCCCCACAGGGATCTCTGGGACGCTTTCTGGACATATTTCGGGGGTCCTGGGGGAGCCGGGGTACCCATCAATGGGGAGCCCAGGGTACCCGTTGCGAGCTGGCGGCGGTGGCGGTGGCGGAAGGCAATGGCTGCCACGGATGATCCGGCTGAGGAAAGAGCTTGCAGTAGGTGGCTGGGGGGAACACGGACAGCCTTGCCCTCAGGATTACCATCTGCTCTTTTTTGGGCTATGACCCCTATTATTCGGGGTTTTTGTCATCAGAGCTGAGACTGGGGATTTGGGGAGATTTGGGGCAGGAGAGGCGGGAGGCTGACCAGGGCTCTATTGGTCGCCTCGGGTGGCTTCTCCCTCCCCTTCTTCCCCCAGGTATGGGTGAGTGTTGGCCTTTGATGGCCACCCACCCTTGGACTTGGACTGGGTTCTTTGTCTGCTATCCCTACTCTCACCCCAGGGAAGAACTTGTGCCTGTGGAATTATCACCATTGTCTTTAATAACTTTACAAACTGCTGGCTTCTTGTGCGACCCCAAACTGGAGGAGAACTGGGCAAAACGGTGTGCAGGTGCTGAGGGGGCTGTTTGTCATCCGCCAGATGAAAGGATGGACTATTGTGACTTATTGTCGGTGTCACCTGGCCCAGTCACTGTGAGAGGGTGACTGGGATAATTACCCTCCGGACATGGAGGGATGCCACTGGCCCCTTTCACTGCCGTGAGAGGGCAGTGAACCAGCTCCTGATACGAAGATCTACTTTGACCCAGTATTATTGGACGATCTGGTGAAGCCCTGACCAGTTGACTCTCCACCTCTGTTTTGTGCGATGTTTACGGCTGCTGACCTGCTTGCGCTGCGAGACTCCCCCCTCTCGCAGGCTTGGCCCTCCTCACTATCGAGGGCCTACCTTGATGACGGACTTTGGAATCCCGAGAGGTGGCATGCGGTGAGGAGGGGGTTGTGGGGTTTTTTGGGGAAATTTCTAGATAAGGTTTTAAAGCTTTCTGGGAGGGGGGTGGGCTCTGTGGGTTTGGGGGAGAACCTGTCGGGGAGGAGGCCAGAGCCGGCCAAAGAGCGCGGCACAAGAGGTGCGGGAACCGGGCTCAAGGAGGGGGTTAGAGCTTGTGTTGTGGATGGACATTACATCAGTACTGTGGGTGAGAGGGACAGATATGGCGGGAGCATGGGGCCACATCAGGTTGTGGGAGCGCGCGCCCGCTGGCTCCAAGCAGTGGCGCGCTCCGGCCTCCAATGCTCCTCTCGTTCCCCAGGTTGCACAGACCCTCAGGCCCTGGGCCTTCGGCTGATGCTGTGCAACGCCCGGTCCATGGTAATTAAAGCCCCCCTCATTTGTGATCTTGTTTAGGAGGGGGGAGTGGACCTGGCGGGTATTACGGAGACCTGGTTGGGCCAGGAGGGGGGGTCCCCTCATTGAGATGTGCCCACCCGGTTTCCGCGCATTCCATCAGCCGAGGACACAGGGGAGGGGCGGGGGGATGGTGGTTGTCATTAGAGAAGGTCTTGGTCCGAGGGAGGCCACTGTTCCTCAGACGGCTGGATGAAGTGGCATCATGGAGTGCAGATGGGCGTGCTGGTTACGTACCTGGCTCCCTGCCAAGTGACGGCAGCTCTGCCCGAGCTGCTCAACGTTATAGCCACGGTGGCGGTTGACACCCCCAGGCTTATGGTCATGGGGGATTTTAACCTGCCATCCGTCGGTGAGGTGTCTGAGGTGGCTCGAGAGTTCATGGCTTCCATGACGGCCATGGACCTGACCCAGTTAGTTCATGGCCCTACTCACACGGGGGGAAACACGCTAGACCTGGTTTTTGTCTCTGGTCAGTGGTTGAGTGATCTTGAGATAGGGGATATAGTGATCGAGCCCTTGTCATGGTCAGATCACTCCCTCCTTTGCTTTGACCTTCAAACCGCCACACCCCGCCGCAGGGAGGCAGAACCATCGAGGTGGTACCACCCCAGACGCCTGATGGATCCAGATAGGTTCCAGACGGAGCTTTGGCCATTTCCTGAGTCTCTGGCACACGGCTCGACTGAGGAGCTGGTGGCCGCCTGGGATAGGGCGGCCGCTGGAGCTTTGGATCGGGTCGTGCCTTTGCGGCTTCTGACCTGGCACCGATCTCGCCTGGCTCCTTGGTTCACCAAGGAGTTGAAGGAGATGAAGCGCCGGAAAAGACGCCTGGAGAGTGGTTGGAGGGCCAGCCATTCTGAATCTGACCGAACACTGGTAAGGTCTTATATTAAGACCTACCTGGTGGCGATAAAAGCGGCGAAGTATAACTATTTTGCCGCTCTTATTGCGTCATCAGATAAGCCGCCCTGTTTAGGGTGACCCGCTCCCTGCTCCACCAGGAAGCGCGGGAGGACCCCTTGGAGGGTAGAGCCGAGGATTTTGTACAGTATCTGTATGACAAAATCGCTCAGATTCGGGAACACCTGGACTCTGACTGGGTAGATTCAGGGGGGAGGACAGAGGCAGGTCTTGTGAGTATTATCTGGGAAGAGTTTGATTCTGTGATGCCCGAAGATGTGGACAGGATACTGGGCAGACTGAGCGCAGCCACATGTTTACTGGACCCGTGTCCCTCCTGGTTGGTGCTGGCCTCTTGGGAGGTTACACGAGGCTGGCTCCAGGGGATTATAAATGCTTCTTTGAGTGAGGATGTCTTCCCTGCCGCCTTGAAAGATGCGGTAGTGAGGCCTTTCCTCAAGAAGCCTTCCCTGGACCCGGCAGTGTTGGCAAATTATCGTCCAGTCTCCAACCTTCGCTTCATTGAGAAGGTTGTTGAGAGTGTGGTAGCGCGACAGCTCCCCCAGTACCTGGATGAATCGTTGTATCTGGATCCGTTCCAGTCGGGCTTCAGGCCTGGGTACAGCACGGAAACGGCATTGGTCGCGTTGGTTGATGATCTCTGGAGGGTTTGGGACAGGGGTTGTTCCTCTGTCCTAGTCCTATTAGACCTCTCAGCGGCTTTTGATACCATCGACCATGGTATCATGCTGCACCGGCTAGAGGAGCTAGGGGTGGGGGGCACCGTCCTATGGTGGTTCTCCTCCTTTCTCTCTGACCGGTTGCAGTCCGTGTTGACAGGGGGGCAGAGGTCGACCCCGAGGCCCCTTGTATGTGGGGTGCCACAAGGGTCGGTCCTCTCGCCCCTTCTGTTCAACATTTATGTGAAGCCGCTGGGTGAGATCATCCGTGGTTTCGGGGTAAAGTACCATCAGTACGCTGATGATACTCAGCTGTACATCTCCACCCCAGACCATGCCCTTGAAGTGATGTCCCGGTGCCTGGAGGCCGTGCGGATCTGGATGGGGAGGAACAGACTCAGGCTCAACCCATCCAAGACCAAGTGGCTGTGGTTTCCGACATCCCGATATAGTCAGTTGGTGCCATCACTGACTATTGGGGGTGAGTCATTGGCCCCCACGGAGAGGGTGCGCAACTTGGGTGTCCTCCTGGACTCACGGCTGTCTTTGGAAGAGCACATGACGGCCGTGGCCAGGGGGACTTTTTATCAGGTCCGCCTGATTCGCCAGTTGCGTCCCTTTCTGGATCGGGACTCATTAAATACAGTCACTCATGCTCGTTACTTCCCGCCTGGACTACTGCAATGCTCT